ACAGATGCACAAGACTAAGCCCTCAGTGGCTCACAGAGTTGCCATTTAAACTTTTGTCTCAAAGAACAAAGTTCTTCAATTACCTGTCTATTACAGACCTAGCCAGGACTTGTGCCAGGACCAGAAATAAAGAGCTACCCATGAGGAGCCAAAAGCTGAGCAAACTGGGAAGTTTGTCCTACTCACCTGCCGGTTCTGAATCTTTATCTTCACCAGGCGGCTTCTGCCTGTCCATCCCTCTCTCCGACTGGGCAGGGCCCTCTCGGGGAGACCTGTCAGTGCCAAAATAATACTTGTATTGTCCAGTAAGCTTCCCCAATGAGCCCTTTCCCCACTGTAAGTCAGTTAATGGTAAGCAGACCCTTTAACCATCAGAGACAAACACTGTCTACAAATCTCTATAGTAATGACAGTAAAATCATTTCTTACTAAATCTTATCCCACTTCCCACTTCTTCCCTTAACACATACCTCCTCCATCCTGGATTCTCAGGGTCTCTATTCCACTTTCCCACTTCCACCCTCCTCTGTAACAGTTCCTAGGGCAATCACATCCAACTAAAAATACATCAGTTACATTTAGTACAATCCACAGTTGAATCTTAACTCGTGGGCCCTATCCCCTGGCCTTTAGCCTCAGGTCTCAGGTCAGCTACCATCCTACAGCCTGAAAGTAGCAACCCACCAGGTAATCAAGACCCAGAAGTCTTAGTCATGCCAAAATCCCTCACATAAAAAACAAAGTCCTAGGGTTTTGCAAGAGATTCAACACAATACTAAAGGCTAGCTATGAATGGACCTCCATGGCTTTCAACAAGGACATCCCAAATACAACAGAAGAAACCTCAATTGCCAGGCATATAAAACTCGGGACCACCACTGGCCCTAGCCCTAAATGAGCCCTGGGTCTCACCTAGCATGAAGGCCTCAGGTTGTTGCCCTTAGCAACGCCAACTGCCCTTCTTCCTTAGATGCTCCTAGTAGTTAACAGAAGTGGGCCTTAAGAGTTACTGAGCATGTGTAAGCAGGCCTGAGGCTAAGCATGCTGGGAGTTGTAGTCTCAGGAAGCATACTGCTACTTAGAGGAGGGCTAAATGGGGCAGGACATAACAGAGCAGAATAGTTTCCTTCCTCTTAAGTCAAGCCGGGTTTCCAAATACTCGCAGAGTTAACGGTCCCTTCTCTTCCTACTCATCTAGTCCAGCATATCTCAAAACCTAATGAAATACACTAAAGCTACATGTGAAAAGCTTGACACTCAACACTGAGTGTACTTTCCTTGACCTCCAAAGCAGTTACACTAAGAGTACAAAGACTGAGAGAAGTCAAGAGTAAGAATTACAGAGATGCTAGGCCTGTCGGCACATACCAAGAACATCTTCTTGGGAGACAGAAGAAGAGGGAGCAAAAGCAAATCGGAGGCCAGTCTGGTCTACACAGAAAGCTCAGGCCAAGCCAGAGCTACATAGTGAAACTACTTAAACAGACAAGAATTCCCAAGATTATGAATAGGAAAGAAACTCTACATAGGAAAGCTAAACAGCATAAGTGCCTACAGCTGTGAATGAGAAGGTGGGCCTTCTTAATCAGGGCCTAGTGCTTCTAGTGGTGGTGAGGTAAGGAGAATCCCTGGAAAAGAGCTGTAACAGGGATCTGAGAAACTCACCTCCCATCCTTTCCACTCCCCTTGTTTAGCCAGTGATCACACCAACATAGGTACAGATAATCCTGTCCTCTAAAACTGGAAGGCCAATATCCAGTCAGTCTCACTTAGGGCTGAACAAGGGGAACCCTCAAAGTGCCCAAGATCAGTGAATCAATTCCCAACCACCACAGTATCAGCTTCCTTCTTCTCTAAGCTCACAACTTCATTTCCGAATGTTGCTGATCTGCCCCTGAGCCATGACAAAGAATGTCACTTTACTTTCTTCCTAACACTCAGAACCTGCCAGGAGAGGAGCGCGGGGCATCACCTGACACCTATTACCTCCATCCCCAAACCATCTCTTCCCCAGCCTCACACACAGCAGTCTGATCACAGGAAAGCAGAATGCTGATCTGGCCGGCTTACAGAATGCTCTTAACTTCATGAGGCCCCTAACAAGCCACCTGTGGGAAGTGGGAACTGGAGTAGAGGTCAAGGCTCAAGCCAGGTCCTCTTCCTAGTCAGTCATTCGAGGCCTGGTTGCACCAAAGAGGACTCCAAAGTTTTCTGAATGTTTGCATCTTACATACCTTCCTATCAAATCCTCCACCAACTTTGTTCTCAGAGTTGAGGCCCAAGAAGCCACAAACAGCAACAAATAGAAAGCAACACTGATAATACAGTGGGTAGGAGGAGGACCGCCTCACACAAGGCCAGAGGGACAAATTCCTCTGCCCTCCCCCAAGCACAGCTTACTTGGGCTGGTAAAAGCTAGCACTGCCCAAGAAGGTACAGAAACTACCTTCTCCATCTAGCCTTGAGGAACAGAGTAGCAATGGCCGACAAAGAGACCTGCTCATGGAGCTGTGGAAGGTGCAAGACTGAGCAGCAAAGAGTAAACTGTCCTTTCTCTGTACCACAAGGAATCCAGGGGCATCTCCAAGAAGCCTGAAACCTTAGCCCCTGTCTACTCAAGCCTGCAGTCCAGCGTCTACACCAAAATACCAAGTGCCATAGCAATCAGGTCCCTGGAGGCATTTAAGCAAATAAAGGCAAAGGTTCCCCGTCCCATCATTCACAGCCAGTAAACAGAGACACACTTAGATCCCAGGGGGCTTTCCCTGGATCGAAACTAGGCTAATACCTGGGCCAGGGTTCCTCTGATCTAGGAAGCTCACACCCCTTCGTTTTACATCTAAAAAGCCCAAAAGAGCAAGAATGGCAGCAGAGATTCACTCCAACCAGGCTCCTTCCTGTGTTGACCCTAGACCAACGGATTTCACTCCATTTTCTCTGCAAGGGAGGAAATGGAGGCTTGGAGGGGTGAAGGGCTGGAGCAGGCCCTTGAGTGAACAGCTCCTCAGTGGGACTCAGGACTTCCTGGTTCCCAGCTAGGGAACCAAACCACACCTCTCTCCACCCCCATTTTCGGTCAGCCCTCTAGGAAGGATCCAAATGGTAACACATTGTCCCTGGGTAGCCTAGGGGGCAGCCAGAGCTAACAAGGTACAGTGCCACTTAGGGAAGTTATCTGAGAGCAGACAAGAGGCAGAGACCACAAATGACAGCTCACTGGACTCCAAAACCCCTGTGCCACCTCTCAGGAATCTCTCAAGGGCAAAGACCCTACTTTGCCTTTCTGAGACAAGACTCAAGGAGACCTAGCAAATGTATCTTGGAGAGGGTGGAATGAGGGAGCAAAATGGCACTAGCCAAATCCCTGCTGGGCAACATGACAGGTGTGAGAGAGACTGTCCCAGCCCAGGGCCCAGAAATGAGGCGGGAGGTTCATGCTGCACCCTTCCTGCTGCACATACACACCCCTTCTCCCCAGTACCTCCTACCGGGGCTAGAGACACTGGCTTTCAGCAGAAAAGAGCACAAAAAAAGTCATTTCTCCACTAAAGAGGTGCAAGACAGCTGATCCTGAAGGGCTGGGGCAGCATCGGAGAACTATTTATCATTCAGTAGCCAGAAAAGCATTGTAGAGGGCTGGCAGGGGCTTTCAGGATGGGCCAGGGGCTCATGGACAGCTAACTCTGTACACTAGGCCCAGAGAAAGCAAGAGACAAAAGCCTTTTTTTTTTTTTTTTTTTTTTTTTTTTTTTTTGCAGCCCACATTTGTAGAGAACAGATCTCAACGGCCTCCTCTATAATCCCCGGGAGATTATGTCCATCCCGAGAGGAGGGGACACAGAGCAGGCTAAGACACCACTAGGCCTTGCTGGGGTCACTTTGCCAGGCAGAGGTAGTTTAAAGTTGAACAGCAGGGCCAGAGCTGCCTCGGCCCCACCTCCTTCTTGCCCCAGCCACCCTCTTCATCACACCAGTTTCCACCCACCCTCCCCTGGTGAAGAACCCAGGGCTCCTTTTGAGTTTCCCACAGACTGTTTTGGGTGCCCGGCTAGGTAGGAACAACATTAAAGTCCATTCTGCCACTAAGTCTGACCCGGCAGTGGCACCCCCCCCCCCCAAGTTGCTCTATCCCAAGTAACCCTGGGGGGTGAAGGTGGGGGTGGGGGATAGCAGCCTGGGATTGGTGCTGGCATGAGGGCCTGGGTCCTAGTTTGGTCGAACTCCCTCAACACAAAAATAAACAGGCAGAGAGGCTATCTGGACATGTTCCCAAACTCCGGTAGTTCCCTGAACCCCCAATCTTTAAAGAGGCACACCCCAAGAAACCAGGCCTCAGTTCTGCCCTGGCGACTGGCTCAGGTTCCCTTGACAGACCCTGCCAAAGGAACCCTCCCCAGTTCTGGCACCCCCTTCTCCAACCTAAAGGCCAGCACCGGCCAAGATAGTCCATCTGGCTGTGCCCCCAGTCCAACCCTTTCTGGGCCCAGGCCGGGCGGACTTCACTCACCTCTTCACAGGGCGATCCAGAAATCCTCATCCGAGAACATGGCCAGAGCCCGGGCCGCTCCCCGACCTCCAACCGCCAGAGCGATCACAGCCGCCCCCCACTTGGGGGGGCTTAGGGGGGCCAAGAACGGTAAATCCAGGTCGGAGTGGCCACCCTTCCCCCGAAAAAAAAAACAAAAAAAAAAAAGCCAAAAAAAAAAAAAAAAAAAAGGAAAAAAAAAAAAAAAAAGGCAAGAAGCCAAGAGGGGGTTCTCTGCCTCGGGTTCCAGCAGTTTAGGTTTCCATGGACAGCCCCAGGGCGGCGAATCCCGAGCGGACACAAAGAGAGCACCGGTGGCTTTGATCTTGGGCGAGCAGGCTCCGCATCCGCGTCGCCGGGCGGCCTCTCAGTCCTAGGGCCCGGCCAGCGCCCCGGCCGCCCGCGCCGGGCTCGGGCGGAACGTCGAGGCTCTCCAGATGGAACGTCGAGGCGCCTCCCCAGCAGCCCGGAAGGAATGCCGCGCCGCGCCGCGCCGCGCGCCGGGCCCGGATGGAACGTGAGCCCCTCGCCGCCGCGCCGAGCCCCTCTCCCCGCCCGGCCGGCGCCCCGGGGCCGCGCGAGCTACGGCGACGCGGAGCCGGCGGGGCCGAACCTGACACACACACCCAGCGCCGGGCTCCGCGACCCCGAGCGTCCCCACTCGGCGGCTTCGAGCCCCCCACCTTCTGCTCCCCCCGGGGAAGGGAGGAGGGTTGGTGGGCGAGGAAGAGGAAGGGGCGGGCGGTGCGAGCCCTCTGCCCGCTCCCCTCCGGCCGCTCCAGGCCCAGCGCTCGCCTCCCTTCCCCTCTGGCTTCGGGAGCTGCCCCGCCCCCGGCCTGGCCGGCTGTGGTCCTCAGCACCCCCTAGACCCCCGGCAGGCTGTGATCGCGGGGGGCCTAGAGGTGCATGGTCCGACCCCGGCTCCCGGCGCCGGGGGGTCAGGAAACTGAGCGGAAAGTGGGGAACGAGGCAGCCATTTGCAACCGGAGAGGAAAGTAGTGCAGCGCGGCGCCGCTCCGCCTCCCCCCCTCCGCCTCCTGCTCGGCCGGTAGGGTGGTTCCTGCGAACAGGCCGTTTCCTCGCCTGGGGTCTGGCCGGCGGCCCCGGAGACTCGTGGAGCGTCCGGCGCGAGGTCCAGGGGGGCCCTCTGGCCCGGGGACCCCCACTCGAGAAGGGGAGAAAGGAGAAGAGGAGGCCCTATTTTGTGTTGGAGCGGGGCGGCGGAGGGGTACAGCCCTCTTGGAGGAAAGGCTGTGACTCTGCAGTTCTACGCACACGCTCCGGGATCCCTCCGCCGCGGGTTAACCCCGACTGCGCCAGGCTGGCCGCCGGGCAGACACGTGGGAATAAAGCCCCCCACTTCTTCTCCCCGGCCCGGGAACTGCCTCCTTTACCTTCTGAGTAGTGAAGCTAGGATCCTGGCCACGTCTTAATTCTGCTCCCTAGAGTCACTGACCCTTGGAACTCCTAGCTTTGGCCGGGGACAGTCTTTGCCAAGGGGGGGTTGGGGGGTGGAAAGAGAGGCTGGAGATTGGCCGCTGCTCTGCATCCTGGGAACTGGAGTCCGCAAATGGAGAAAGTGAGGCAAGGCGCTTGGCGCTGCAAAGGGTGGGTTCTTGCCACGTTCGGGGGCCGGAAGAAAGCTGGACCGCTCTCAGGTCTTCTAACTCTAAGACCCTTTGGTGCCGAAGGGCTGTCGGTGTCCTCACGATCCCCAAACACCACTTTCTCTACCAAAACATCAATGTAGAGCGTCCCCACCCCGTATTGAATTTTCCCGAAAATCCTCTGAACCTGTCTTCCTCTTTTTTTTTTTTTTTTCAAACTAAACTAAATACCTTGCTACTTGGCTGAAATATTGTTAATCTGGATAAGACCCTGGCAAGGGCCCGCACCCCAAGTCTGGATGATAGGAAGAACAAAATTACCTTTTCTGTATAGACTGTATACATGGAGTAAGCAGGTTGAGACAAATTTACTGTGTGCTTGATACTTTATATCCTCTTTTTCCTCACCAGCATTGTGGAATTATCTCCATCTTACAGGTGAAAAGACTGAGGCTGAACAAGAGGAAGTCACCCAAGGAGTCACCCTGACTGAGAAACCAAAGGCAACATTTTCCTTGCAGATTCAAAATAAAAAATAAAGATTCAAGGGCCCATGATATGGCTGAGAGAGTAAAAGGCACTTACTGGCAAGCCTTAAGATCTGTGTCTGAGCCAGGCAGTGGTGGAGCAGGCCTTTAATCCCAGCACACAGGAGGTGGAGGCAGGCAGATACGAAAGTTGGAGGCCAGCCTGGTCTACAGGGCGAGTTCTAGGACAGCCAGGGCTCCATAAAGAGACCCTGACTGGGGTTGTGGAGGGGGGAAAGATCTGGATTCAGTTCCTATAGTGAAGGAGAGAGAAAGTCAGAGAACTTTCACAAGTCCAGGGTGCCCACACACACAAACATGCAAGATAAATAATTTTTAAAAGATTTAAGAAAAAAGGTGGAAAGAAGCTGGCAGATTAGGTCTGAGTCTACTTTTAGGGGAAAAGAACAGCATGATCCACTCTGATGGAAATGTGCTGTATCCACAGGAACATAGCCATTAGATACATGTAGCTAGAGTGCTTTGAAATGGAGGTAGGTGCAACTCAGTAACTAAATTATAACTATGTCAGACTTAGCCACGGTGGCCTTGCATGCTGCAGTGTGGCTCTGGCTGTGGCCAGAGGAGGGGATCAGCAGTAGACACATCCTGCATGTGTCCCTTTAGCACCGTGGTTCCCAGTCTCATCCCTGATGACAGTCTCAGCAAGATTGTCTCAAAAGAAACTTCATGTGATCCCACAACTGTCTCAGCTATAGTGCAAGTTTAAGTAGGAGTTCAGAAGTGGAAGGCACCTCCCTCCTGCCTGTGCTCAAAGGGGAAAAGCCACCCCGATTAGAAGATGATAGTACTGACTGATTAAGCTACGATGGACTGTCCTAAACATTGTGTTTACTACCTCAATTCTAGGTTTTGTTTTGAGACAAGGTCTTGTTATGTAGCCCTTACTAACCTGGAATCTGCCATGTAGCCAAGGCTACCTCTCAGCTCAAGAAAAGCTCCATGTTCCTTCCTGAGAGCTGGGATTACAGGACGTAGCACACCTGGCCCTCATTTCTCACTTTAATGTGCTGAAACAGACTTACAACTTTTAGTTCTGTGTTTATTTTTATGTGGCTTTGTTAGCTCATGTGTACTGCATAGATGCAAGGAGCCTCCAGAGACCAGAAGAGGGCATCAGAGCCCCTAGAACTGGAGTTACAGGTGGTTGTGAGCCACCACGTAGGTGTTGGGAACTAAAGCCAGGTCCTTCCTCCTCAAAAGCATTAAGCACTTTTAACCACTGAGCCACAAGGCTGTTTTTTGTTTGTTTGTTTGTTTGTTTGTTTTGTTTTTTTAATTTGAGTACAAACACTGCAATCCTGGGATCTAGCACTTGGGATGTGAAGGGAGGAGGAGGAGGACTTTAAAGTCACTCTCTAACCTGAGGTAACTCAGTAGGTAAGGTTGTTTGCTACCAAGCCTGATGAGTTTGAGCCCCAGGGCCCACATAGTAGATAGGAGAGAACCAATTCTTGAAAGTTGTCCTCTGACCTCCACACTTTCACCACAGCACGTGTTACACACAGACACACACACACAGTCCCAACAAAAAAATAAAATACCCAGCCAGCCATGGTGCTGTACGCCTGTAGTCCCAGCACTCAAGGAGGCAGATCTCTGTGAGTTCAAGGCCAGCCTTGTACAAAATGAGTCCAGGACAGCCAGGGCTACACAGAGGAACCCTGTCTTGAAAAGAGAAAAAAGAAACACCAGGCTTAATTTTTCACAATCTGTGATTCATAGTCTTTAATCTGTAATTCCAGCTACTAGGGAGGATAAAGCAGGACTGGCAGACTCAAGACCCGCCTGTGCAATTCAGTGAGACCCTATTTCAATACTTCAGAGGCGGGGGTGATTGACTGTTCAGCCGTTAGGAGCACTCACTGGTTGATCTTCCAGCTGGCCTAGGTTTGGTTCCCAGAACCTACCTGGCAACTCATGACCATCCATAGCTCCATTTCCAAGAGACCTGATGTGCACATCTGGCCTCAGAGGACACTGCTCATATGTGATATTTAGATGTACATGTAGGCAAAACACTAAAAAACCCACTCACTAAAAAAAGCAAGCAAATAAACTGGGACCACACAGCTAAAAATGAATCTTAAAAAAAAAAAAAAAAAAAAAACAATCATTACTGGAGAGATGGCTCAGGGGTCACGAGCACTTGTTGCTCTTCTGGAAGACCTCGATTCCCAGCACCCACATGGTGCTCACCACCATCTAGAACTCTAGTTCCAAGGGGCCTGATGCCCTCTTCTGACATCCATAGGCCCCAGGAACATGTGGTGCAGACATGCAGGCAGGCAAAACACTCAGGAACCAAAAAATGAGTAAGTTACTGGACGGTAGTGACGTGATGTGACACACGCCTTTAAGCCCAGCACACACGAGGCAGAGACAGGTGGATCTCTAGAGGGCTGACACGATGGCTCCAATGATTGCTGCCAGACCTGAAGATCTGCATTTGAGCCCCAGGACCCACACTGTAGGAGACCATCAACTCTAGAAAGTAGCCTTCTAACTTCTACTTGCGTGTTATGGTATGACCCCACAAACAGTATTTTTAAAATATAATTTTAAAAAGACTGGAGCTGTAGCTCAGTCACAGAATATTTTAGTCAGTATGTAAAATCTTTATATGCAGCCCAGATGACGCCCGCCTCAACCTTCAAAATGCTGGGATTACAGGGGTACCACCACATCCAGGTTCTGATGCCAATTCAACCATACCTCACAAATGGGAAAGTTAGGCTGACTGGGTACTTCCACTTCCCCAGTGAGCAGCGGAGGTCTCTACTATGCTATTGTTCCTCTGAGGTCTCCCTCACAACTGCCTTTGAGGATAAATTGGTGAGGGTGGTGAGCTGTCAAGAAAAACAGAGGCAGAAGCTGGAGAGATTGCTCAGCAATTAGGAGGACATACTGCTTGTGCAGAGGACCTATGGACGGTAGCTTACAACCACCTGTAACTACAGCTCCAAGGAATGAGGCCTTTGGTCTCGTCAGGTCCCTGCACTCATATAAACACACAGGCAAAATTTTAAGAGTGAAAAAGACTTCCCCCTTGGTAGCAGAAACACCCATCGTACTGCAACAGCGAATCAGAAAGACCAAAGCAAGTCTCTGATGCCTAAAACAAAAACAAAGCACAATTCCAATAGTAAGCAAGGCACAAAAAGAGACCTAAGCAGATAAAGGAAGGGAAAATGTCTGCTATAAGCCAGGTGTGGTGGTGCATGCTTTTAGTGCCAGCCTTCAGGAGGCAGGTGGATTTCTGTGAGTTCTAGAACAGCCAGGACTACACAGAAACCCTGTCTCAACAAAAAATAAAAACGAAAAAAAAAAAAAAAGGGAGAAGGGACACAGTAGGTGGCAGAACTGATGTGCACCAAACAATTACTTCTTAATCTTCTTAATTTTCTGGTTCTCACACACTTTTAGTCCCTGCCTCTACTCTCCTCCTTCACATCATTAGAAATGGGGGTCTTCCTTCCTTCTTGCTGAGATCCAGCAAATGTCATGGTCCCAGGACAACAGCTAGTCAGCATATGGAGCTGGCCACTAGAGGGCAGTATATATGTAGTTAAGGGAATCTTCAGAACCCACAAACTTAGATGGGTGGGGTAGCCCAGTAGAACTTGGTGAAGTATGGAGGGGGGGAGCAGCAAAATAGATGAAAAGGGCAAGCAGTTAAGTCTTCGGGTAGTGGTCCTTAGTGGAGAGAAAGACAGGACTCCATATTAAATGTTGAATCCACCACTCCTCAGCGCTCCCCACATAGAAAAGTCAACAACAAGATTTCTCCGTTTATTTACAAATACACAGTCACCCCAGTAGCCAGTTTTACATCAGAACTGCCAAGCAACCAACCAACACCCAAAATGGACCCAGGAGGGTAGGTCCTCGATAATCAATGCCCAAGACTCATATCCCAACTATACAGACTGTAAAAGTTCGATTAGAAAAGCAAGGAGTTAGAAGCCAGTCTCCGTGAGACTCCTTGCCCCTTTGTAAACATTAACATCCAGGCTAACAGAACCTGGGATGAGTGTGCAAAAATGAGGGTTCCACACTGTACGCCCACAGTGCTAGGGGCATAATTGGCCAGCATACCACTTAAGTCCTGAGAGTCTGCCCCCCGCCCCCCGCAGGCTGGAAAATGCCTGCGGCAGACATGAGGCAGTCATTCCATGCTAAGAGCTCACATGAGATGGCATCGGCGGCCTTGCCCGTAAGAATTCTCCACACGGGCAATCTCCTGGATGACTTTGATGAAGATGTCTTGAGTTAGCTACAAGGGATAAAGCAAATTCAGGGGTAAAAAAGTCAATTAGTTCAGTGCCAATGCTCCCCAGACCTGAGGCGAACACACCGCTCGCTCGCCATCCCCGAGCGAGGGATCTTCCACACCAAGCAGTGTGGAAGACACTGCTAACCACGCCACCAAGCCTAGTCCTCACACTGAGCACCTGATTCTCTCGAGCAGACGCCTCCATAAACGTTGCACCCCAGGACTCCGCCAGCTTCTTCCCTTCAAACGCCTGCACCTCTCTGGAAGCAGATTTGGAACAAGTAAGGACTGAGGCAGGTAGCAATGTCTGCAGGTTCTCTGACAGACCTTTAGGGGTCGGATTTCCTCGGACGCTCCACAGCCCTCCCCCAAGGTTTGATGAGGGTGAGGAAAAAGAAGATACATGTAAACAAAAGCATGACAGATAAATGCGAGTCTGAAACTTGAAACATGGATTACGGCTTTATGACTGGATTATCCTTAAACAGCCATTGAGGTAATAGAAAGACAGAAACTGGCTAGGTGTGGTGGCCCCCGCCATAGTCTCAGCTGGCACTATTTAGGAAGGCTGAGGCAGAGGAGTTAAAAGGACAGCTTGGGCTACATGGTGAAGGTCCTGGTTCAAAAAAATAAAAATAAAAAGGAAGTAAAATTACTTTAATCTAGCAGCAAAGCCAGGAAGGACTACCGTTAACTGATCCCTAGTCCAGCTCACTTCCCTTTGCCCTGAGCAACAGAGGTTTACACACCTGTCTCGAGAGAGGTCTGCCTTGTTCCCCACAAGCACCGCCGGCAGCCTGTGAGAAAGCAGCAGTTACTGCTGCGTGGCTGTAAGATCCCCTTCCTCATCCCCCATGGTCCCCAAGTATTCCAACCACACCAAGGTTAGGTGATTCCCAAAAGCCAGGCAAGACCTACGTCCAGCCTCCTTGAAGAAGTCACCCCTCTGCCTTCTTCCACATCCTCAAACCCACCCTGTCTCTATTTCCAGGGCCGCTGACCTGGTTTTGCCGTGGCCTTCATGTAGCTTTCGGTACAGGCTCTTAATGATTTGGAAGCTTCAAACATAAGAAGACCTGTACTGTTAGTACATGGATAATCGCTGAGTCTCACCCAGCCCCACTGGAAATCCCAATCGCGTACCTATGCAGAGAGGTGACAGAATACACCAGCACGTAGCCGTGGACACCGATGATGAAGGAGTAGGGCAAGATGCTGTACTCATCCTGACAACACAAACGTGAGTATTTAGTCACATGGCTCAGGTGGTGTGAGCTGGTGGGACAGCATTCACTGACCCTCCCCGGGACATGTCTTGCTCCTGTCTCTCCCATTAAACAAGTATTTGTGAAGGCACTACGGAGCCTTGCACGTGCTTTGTCACACATGAACCACACAGACCATCAGACTTTACCCAAGGTTAACCTGCAACACTTGGACACCCTCCCCCGGCTGGTACCTGCCCTGCTGTGTCCACTAGATGTAGGTGAAACTCATCTTTGCCAAGAGTCACTGTCTTGCTGTAAGCTGGAAGAACAACAGGAAAAACATCTTGACTCCTGACCCGCCCCCCCAGGGGTGACGCAGACAGACTTGCTAAGTTCCTCTACACCACTGGTTCTCAACCTTCCTAATACTGAGACCTTTTAATACACTCCCTCATGGTGTGGTGACCCCCAACCGTAAAATTATTTTTGTTGCTACTTTATAACTGTGATCTTACTGTTGTTATGGATCGTAGTTCACATGTAAATATTTTTGGAGGTAGGGGGTTGTAAAAGGAATCCCAACCCACAGGCCGAGAACCCCTGATCTATTCTATCCTGGACTAGAACCTTGCAAATCCCACTTTCTAGACACAGAACAGGATTCCCAGAAGCGATTAGATTATATAAATAAATCAGCCCCTTGACAACAAAGAAATCTCAAAACATAGTTAAAGAGGGTACCCAGTCTATTTGGTTCTAGCCCCTTCACACTGAAGAACACTACTCATGAAGGGCACACGCTTTTAATCCCAGCATTCGGGAGGCAGAGGCAGAGGCAAGCAAGTGGTCTCTATGAGTTGGAGGCCAACTTGGTCTACAGAGCTAGTTGTAAGACTGCCAAGGCTACACAAAAAAAGCCAAAAAGGCCCGGGGCTGGTGGCTAACGCCTTTAAACCCAGCACCTGGGAGGCAGAGGCAGGCAGATTCCTCTGAGTTCCTTCAGGCCAGGGTGGTCTACAAAGTGAGCTCCACAACAGCCAAAGCTACATAAAGAAACCCTGTCTGAAAAGCAAAATACATAAACGAATAAATAAATAAACAAAGAAGTAAATAAGTGAATAAATAAAAAGCCAAAAGGTACTACTTACTATTCTCCACTGTAGGATCGTAGCCTTCCAGGAACTCGCCTTCCACAAATTGATGTGCCAAAGATGTCTTCCCTTCAAGGACCAGAGATCATTGTAATACAACCATCCATCCTTATTCACACCTTTTGTCCTTTCGGACTGTTGCCAGGACCAAAGTTCACCCCAAATCAGCTTCGCAGTCTGGGAGACCCCCAAGCAAGCCCCCTCGGCCTATGATTACCACCATCCTTACGCCTTTCGCGTTGATTCCGCAGCGTTTTTACTACTGGATGCTTTCGGCGGCGCCGCAGGAAGCCTTCCCCTGCCCCACCCCACCTCACGACTCCCCAGGATCAAGCGCACCAGCCCAAGGACACTTTCGACTTCCTGCCCCGCGTAGACCTCCACCACGCCTCCAAACACTGATCCCACGCCCCGCTCCCAGAGCAACGCGGGGACCACAGCCCGGTGCGCGTTAACCCTTGCGCGCTCCTCTTCCAGCATCCCTCCGCCCTTCCATCTCCTGGCAGGAAAGCCGACTCCTTCCCAGGCCAGTCCGGCTCCTCGTGTCACACTTCCGCGACAGCGCGCCTCTCCTGGCCACAGAGCAACGGTGCTCTCGGGAGGGCGGAGACTCACCTACGGAGCGGTACCCGAGGATGGCCACCTTCCTGTAGCGCACCAGCGGCATGACAGGGACCCCGCCCCGAGGCGCTCGCGGGAGCGCCGGCCGATGGAGCCCGAAGATCAGCCAGGGTGCAGACGGCGGTGAGGGCGGGAAGGACGGCCGCTCACCGAAGCTACGCCCCGCAAGCCGGAAAAAAACAAAACAAGCCGCGCGCCCCGGGCAGACCACGTGATCACAACACCGCGGCTCTACGCAAGGAGCCGGGCGCGGAGGGCGGGACACCCAGCCGGGCGGCTCCCGGCTCCGCCCCCCAGGCTGCTCCCCATTGGTCTGTTAGAATGAACGGGGGAGGAGTCATCCTCGGGAGGGAAGGGTGGGCCTCACGTGGAGCGGGATCTTTGGGAGCTGCACATGCGTAGACCTCAGCCTGTTCATTCATAAAGAAAGAGGAAGGAACTCGGGGTCCTAGAGGTACTTGCCCACTTGCAGCCTAGCCAGCGGCGCCGAGAATCGTACATGGAAAACACCTGCTGTGAACATACAACACGAAAAGGAAAATCGGTTGTGGCTGGGCTGCTTTTGAGATAGGGTCTCGCTGTGTAACCCTCTCTATATAAACCGTGCTGGCTTCAAATTCACTTGCCTCTACCCCCCTCCCCCGTCCTGGATTAAAGGGGTGCACCACTACAAGTGGCTTTGGGCGGGAGGTTTTGCTGAAAAGATTCTAGGCCTCTGGAGGCCGGTGGCGGTGGTGCCCGAACCCAGAGGACCCCAGCATTCAGCCCGGACATTTTGCTGGGCGTTTTCAGTCTTCTAGAATGTAATCCCAGAACCGGAGTTCTTACGGAAACTGCTTCAGAGTGCGACTCTACAGTCTCAAGTTTCCTTATCATAATCAGGGCGCTCATTTATTCCGCAAGTATTTCTTGAGCTCAGCACTTGAGGGTTGAGGCAGGAGGGTGCTGAATGTTAGACACCAGCCTGGGCTACACAACATAAAGCCACCCAAGATTAATGTATAAGAGCTTTCCCCTCACCCCCCCCCCCAAAAAAAAAGGCCAGGCTTGGTGGCCTAGGCCTATAACCACAGGATTTAAGAGGCGAAGACAGGAAGGTCAGAAGTTCAAACTCATTACGGCCTCAGCTACATAGTGAGTTTGAGCCCAAGAGACCTTGTCTTAAAAAAAAAAAAATGGAAAAAGAGCTGGGCGGTGGTAGCACGTACCTTTAATCTCAGCAGAGGCGGGCTACTCTCTGTGAGTTCAAGGCCAGCCTGGTCTACAGAGTGAGTTCCAGCACAGCCAAGGCTGCACAGAGAAACTGTGTCTCGGAAAAACAAAAAAGAAAAAGAACGTGCTGTTGAGCACGTTCTACTCGCTCTGGGCCACTCACTGTCCAAGGTTAGCAGAAAGAAAGAAATGACATACAGGGTCTCTGTTCCCTTGCGTTTAAATTTATTCACAGAGGTTTTGTTGCATGAGCCTCTGCTTGTGTTTTAGTGCGCAGAACAGGTGTACATGCAAACCCAAGACGTCACGGGCTGCTAGGAATGAACCAGTGGATTCTTCCCTTGATAAGGCAGAACCTGGGATGTAGTGTTGTGCTTGTTTTAAACTCTATCCTATTTGGGGCATTTAAGCCTCTAGCTCCCTTCCACCAACCCTTTAACCCTAGGTAGGAGAGAAGGGTAGTGGGGAGAGGGGGTGCAGACCCCTTTACTCCTCCCAGTTGTTAGGGCTGGTGGGCTCCTTTGGGGGCTATACCAATCTCCACCAACAGCAAATGTGGCAAGCTGTCTCCTCCATCTATCTCCTCCAAGCTCCTGGGCCTCAGAGCATCTCTCCCATGCCTCTCCAAGCTACCACACCATCTGTCTCTGTCTCTCCAAACTGCTACACCGTCTCTGGCTAGGCTCTGGTATTTATATCGCTCAGAGTCCTAGGCCACACCCCTCTTGCCCAAGGCAAGCCTTTACCAGCTGTCAAAGACCACACTCAGAACGAGGCAATTGTCAGCTGCCAACAAACTAAAGCCCAAACTAAAATCCCACACTTGGGATTAAAACAAAAACATATTTATGTAATGTAACTGAGTTTTTAAAGAAACCAAAACTTCCATTACAAAGTAGGCCACTGGGGGAGGGTGTCTGCAAGGTTCTAAGTGATGCTGGTCTTTCTTGCATGCCTGCTTTTGTTTCCTGTCTACTGTAGAGAAGCTCCTCCACCAATGTGTCTACTGTCAATGAGATTACATCACCGCGGGCACAAACTTATAGCCAAGCGACCTTAGACTAACAGTGTGGAATTCTGAGCCAAAATAAAACACTCCTTCCTTGAAGTGGTTTTTCTCAGTTATTTGGCCACACCCATACAAAATTCTAAAGAATGCTATGCTTCATGGAGCTTCTTTGTATTCCACAGCTAAGAATTTGCCTCCTTGCTGGTGTATAAATAAGCATTGTTCTCATCATAAAGAGCACTGGGAGTGGTGGCTCACACCTTTAGTCTCCTCACTCAGGAGGCAGAGGCAGGCAGATCTGTGAGTTCAAGACCAGCAAGGTGTACAGAGCAAGTTCCAGAACAGCCAGGGCTACACAGAGAGACCTTGTCTCAAAAGACCAATAACAATGCTTAGGAGCTTTGGCCTAAAGCAATATGAGGTTTGGGGAATTTTATTGGTTTTATATTTTATATATTTTTGTTTGGATTGGGGTTAGGTTTTTTTTTGGGGGGGGGGACAAGGTTGCTCTGCATAGCTCTGATAGTCCTGGAACTCATTCTGTAGACCAGGCTGGCCTCAAAATCACAGAGATCCACCTGCCTCTGCCTCAGAGTGCTGGGATAAGGTTGTGTGGCTGGCTCTTTCTTCCTTTTTCCTTTTGTTTTTGTTTTTGTTTCGAGGCAAGGTCTTACTATGCAGCCCTGGCTGGCCATAGACAGACAGTAGCCTTGAACTCCCAGAGATACACCTGCCTCTGCCTTCCAAGTGCTGGCCCAGAAAAATACTGTATTCTTTCTTAGGGATCTGTGGGTTGAATCGGCCATTCTCTTGTTTCCTGTCCTGTGTTTGCTCATGAGGCTGAAGTCTCAAAGGAAGCAGAAAGTCCAGAAGGAACTTGAGTGTTGGGTGTTGGAGCCAGGGTGCTGACTCAGATTCCGTCCCTGCCCACCCTCACCCCCTTCATGTGTCTGCCTGACGTGTCCTACAAGGTGGCAAAAGCAGGTAAGCAGGCCAGGACCTCTTGAGCTTTGGGGCCCTGGAGTCCATCCAATAACATGATTCTTCCATTGGTATTACTCTGAAAAAGGCTCAGATCTGCCAAGGTTCAAGTCTCGAGATAGACTATTTCCTGATTTGCCTGCATGTATGTATGTATGTGTGCCACAGGCCCCTGCATTGGTGCCTGTGGAGGTCAGATGAGGGCATCTTGTCCCCTGGAACTGGAGTTACAGACAGTTCTGAGCATCCCTGTGGGTGCTGGGAACTGAACCCAGGTGCCAGCAAGGGCTCTTACACTGAAGCGTCTCTCTATCCCCTGTGGCAACTTTTCGGTTTCCAGCAGGTTGTCTGTGCATTAGCTGTGGGAAGGTGGAGTTCCGAGCTCACGCAGGGGTTTTCCACGTCTATAGTCTGTTTTCCACAGCTCTGCCCTCACCACCCGTCCACTCTTGGACACCCAGCTTCACAGCAGACAAGGCTATTGTCGACCACTGTGGGAACCTCCAAATTCAGAGTCTAGCCTACAGCCACCTGACCTTGCTAATATCTCGCATGTGATGGCTACCTGGGTGAAGCCAGCGGTGCCGGTGGTGGCGCTCAGGAGGCAGAGGCAGGTGGAGCTCTGCTTTCGAGGTCAGCTCTGGTCTACAGCGCAAGTTCCAGGCTACACAGAGAAAGCCAGTCCTGGAAACAAAACCTACTTGAGATCTAGTTCATAGCTCAGTGGGAAGGTGGGTGCCTAGCAATCAGGAGGTCCTGGGTTCAATTACTAATACAATTTAACAACAACAAAACCTTGTGTGGATACAGTAACAGAAAGGCACAGTTCCAAACCTCAACAAAGTAACAAAGCTGAGGGACTCGGACCTGCACCTCTACAGCTCTTGACTATTTTCTGATGTTGCCACCTCAGGGCCACCGGATCTGTCACCTGCAGGTGTCACATCTCCCTCCTCCTATTTTGTATTGATATTTTAAAGCAGTATCTTCATGTTCAAAAGCTTAAATGAAACTATAATTCTTGGGTTTGTTTTTGTTTTGTTTTGAGACAGAGTTTCATATGTAGCCTAGTCTAGTTGGATAGCCTCATCCTCCTGCCTCAGACTCCTAAATCCTGGAATACAAGTGTGAGCCACCAAACCAAATCCAGGTCTAGGGAAGGTTTGGATGACAGCTTTAGAAGCCTGAGGGTGGGGAGGGGGAGACATGGTACTTTCTTACTCTATCTCCATCGCCTCTCTGCATCTTGGTCAGAAAACATCTATTATCTGCACTCCTTCCTTCTTTCTCTCCACCCTTAACTTCTTAGCTCTTCCCAATCTGTTCTCCACTCAGTGCCAAGGAATTTTAATTTAATTTAATTAATTTTAATTTTAAATGAAATGAAATGAAATTTTAATTTAATTTAATTAAACTCCTAATTTTAATTTAATTTAATTTTTACTTGTTTTGTCTTCATTTCTTTTGGTTTCTTTCTTTTCTTTTTCTTCCTCCCCACCAAGACAGGGATGGTCTGTGTAGCCCTGGCTGCCCTGAAACACACTCTGTACACCAGGCTGGCCTCAAACTCAGAGATCCTCCTGCCTCCCTAGTGCTGGGGTTAAAGTCCTGCACTGCACACTCAGCTATTTGGTTTTACAAGAGGAAACATCTCTTGCAGCCAAGTTGACCTCGGATTCAATTTTGGCAGCATCATAGTTTAGTGGCAGTGGATATGGTTTATTTTTTGTGATGGTTTCACTATATAGCCAAGGTTGGCCACAAACTAAAAATCCTTGTGCCCCGGGCTTCCAGATGCCAAGATCAGAGTCTTAAGCCACCACATGTGGCATCAAGTGATTTTTTTAAAAAACCTTTTTCAAGCCAGGGTTTCCTTTTGTAGTCCTGGCTGTACTAGACCAGGCTTTATAGAGTAGGCTGGCCTCGAACTCAGAGATTAGCTTTGTAGATCAGGCTGGCCTCAAGCTCACAGAGATCCACTTGTCTTTGCC